TATTTCTGAATATAGTACAGAAGATGATGTTTTAACTGATAAAATGTATCAGTTAAAACTGCCAGAATCAACAGTTTTTCAAAAATAGGCCAAAAATATTGAAGAAACTGAAGAGCAGCTACCTAAAGAATGGAAGACTCCAAGAAATCTTTCAATAGACAACATCATTGGTGAAATAAATCAGGAAGTTTCCACTAGGAGATCTTTAAATAAATTTTGCAATCACATGACATTTGTATCAAAATTTAAAACTTGATACATACAATGCATTTTTTTTTTTTTGTTCCTCTGTTCCTTATTTTTTATGAAGTCAAATGGGGAGAAATAATTGCTTTATAATTGATTTTTCTTATTTAGGGGGAGCAGCAATATAAGGGGAGAAATGGATAAATGTTTAATTTTTTTATTACTCACTGATCTATATATTCAAGTGACTTCTTCTACAGAGTTATTATTCAAAGTGGTGTCAAAGAGGTATTTGTCTTCATCAAATAGGGGGAGATTGAAAATGATGAAGATCTTATTGAATTACTTTGACAAAGATCTTGTTAATTTGATGAAGTCAATATTGAAGTCAAAGACTACTTTGTGGCAGTCAAAGATCGCTTAGATAAAAGGGTAGTGGGATTAGTGAGTCTGCATCTCTGCTTATGTATAATCTTTTTTATCTTTCTACTGCATGAGATTTCTTCATTTAAAAGGATTTTGCAAATGCCTCTAAAATATGTTTAAACGGTTAAAAACAAAGTATTTTGTTAAAAGGTTTTTTAAAATCAACTATTTTAACTAATAGCATATAAGTTTTATCAACTAAAATGTTCTTAACACTTTTGTAACAGGTTTTTAACTGATATGTTTTCGAAATAATCGATTGTTTTCATTAAAGGAAGTTTTGAAAATCTTCTGTCAGTTTTTTAACTGATATAGTTTCAAAATAATCGATTAAAATCACTTAAAATGTTCAGGGAAGTGTTTTGGTAGTATTTTAATCGATATAACTTCAAAATAATCGATTAAAACCACTTGGAGTACTGTTTAATCGATCAGAATGAGCATATGACCGATCAGAACCAGCATATGATCGATCAGAATGAGTTTTTGATCGATCAGAATAGTTTTAATCAATTAAACTGTGTTTCAATCGATTAAAACAACTTAAGAAAAATTTTGCTAAACGTTTTAATCGATTAAAACATATTTTTATCAGTTAAAATCACTTGGAAAAGTTTATAAGAATGTTTTGCAGTATTTTAATCGATTGAAAGACGAAACAATCGATTAAAACAGTTTGGAAGATTTTTTACAAAGAGTTTTAATTGATATAAACGGTGTCGTATCAGTTAAAACAAATGTGGAAAATAATCAAGAACATTTTAACAGATTAAAAGAAGTTTTAACAGATTAAAATAAGGTTTTTAACAGATTAAAAAATTATTTTAACAGATTAAATAAACCAGTAGTTTTGAAAATCTTTTATATAAACAGAGTTGCTTGAACTTTTTAAACATCTTCTTTTACACATCTTTTAGCAATCAATCAAGCAATCATAAGTGCTACTTTCAAGAGAGAATCACGCTAATTTTTGTGAAGTTCATTAAAGTTCTTTCTTGAGGCAAAATTGCATTCTTTTGGAGAAGAAACACATACTGCAGAACTGCATAAAACTGGTTTGAGCGTTCTAAGTTTCTTCTGTTTGTTTCTTTACTTTCTTTTACTATATTGTGGGTGTCTGGAATTGTGGGCACTAGTTTCTGTAGTTGGAATTTGGCTGCAGGGTAGATCAAGAACTGGAATTCGGTTCTTGGTGAAGGTTTAGGTGCAGGAACTGGAATTGTGCTTCTTGTGGTAGATTGAGTGTGAGATTAAGGTTGTAATCTGTAAAACATTCAATCTAGTGGAACCCAGCTGAAATTTGGCTGGAGACTGGATGTAGCCCTGGGATTGAGTGAACCAGTATAAACATTGGTTATATCTTTCTAAATCTTTCTCTTCTTTAATTATGTGACTGCATTTATTTTTTATTGTTTGCTGTGTGTGATTCAAGAATTTTTTAGATTTCTTAATATTTGAAATACATAATCTGTTAATTGCGAAAAACTTTCAAAGATCAATTCACCCCCCCTCTTGATCTCAGCCTACAGTTCTAACAGAGCTCACCCAGGCGCACGCTTTGCCCACGCTGATGAAGGGTTCCGCTCTTCCCCCAGCCCTCTACATCTGCCACAAGCTATTGACTGGGACCATTCACGGGCGGAAAGAGAATCAGGGAAAGGTAACCCTTCCGGACCTCTTCGTCCTTTACTGCATGAGCCAGAGGCGCTGGTGCAACCCTGGCTATTTCTTCCTGAAGGCCCTCAGTACTTCGGGAGCCGACCCTGGGAGTCGTCCTCGTGGCTCCCCTCATTACCCTCCTGGCAAAAAAATGGGGGTGTAGTGGCAGGGAGGAACTGGCCTCCAACCTCCGACCCGAGTCTATCAACGGGTCGGTCTTAGTCAGCATGGGGATGCTGTTGTGCCACAGGACCCAGCTGATCATCCACCCCTCCCTCGATATCACTTTGGATTTCCAGGATATCGTGGCAATGCACGATCTCCCAACACCTCCCGAGTTCCAACAACCACAACAACAGCAACAACAACAGCAGTACACAGATGATTTTGCTGGCGTAAACCGTAACATCTACGATTTGCGCCAACAATTCGATCAAATGTCTATGAGGCAAGAGCAAATGTCCCTAAGGCAAAAGGCCTTCGACACAAGATTGGAGACAATATACCAATATCAAGAGGGAATGAGACAAGACTGGACGGCCTTCCAGCAGGAGTACCGCGATGAAGCCCGTGACCAGACAGAGTTCCGGAGACATATGTACCGGTAGTTCCCCTCTTATGGATCGTCTTCAGACGAGAGCCCATCTTCTTAGGGATAATGCTTATAGAATAAACTGCTGTAATAAAATTTTTTTATCATAAATAAAATTTTATTTCATGCATTTTTTTGCTATCCAGCCGGAGAGTCTTTGCTGTATAGGGATGTTTAAGAAGAATGAAGTGAAGAAATGGATCGTGGACCCCTACATACAGAGCTGAGCTAAGCTCACCCGAGCCTATGGATGAGTGCCTTGCACCCAGAAATAGATTTTGGCACATGAGATCCACCCTGTCGGATTCTCACCGTCAAACATGGGTAACTTGACCTTCTTCACGCATTGTCGGAATTCCTCTAACACTTCTCCCTTCAAATGCCTCAGTGACCCTAGTGGTGTTGATTTCTCCTAGGGTGGTGGTTGCTACTGTCACCCTCTCCCTCTTCGTCGTTAGTCGTCAACGGATGTTGATCACCCTTTTCCAAAGCCTGAAAGGGTTTCTCAAATTGTTCCTCCATCTTCCACTGTGACTGTGCCATCGCCTCCTTAAGTGCACCAACCTCATGCTCCACATTAGTAAGTCTTGCCTCCATCTCATCGTTCTTAACCCTTTTCTTCTTTGGTGGCATTCACTCTAACAACACTTCGCTGATTCTCCCTCCTCAAAAGAAGTATCCAGCAGGTCGAACCAATTTGTTACAAACTAAGTGATCAAGTAATTAATATAACATATTTAGGAATTCATTGTAAGAAAATGTGCAAAAAAAAGGTAAAAGAGAAGAATAGAAATGCAGTAAGAAAAATTGTCTTTCACTACTACCCACAGAGCTACGCTCCAATAGAGAACCAATATTCCCTACCCACTGATTTCTCACTCAATCCTCCTCTCCCCTAACTACATGTCACTCATCCCTAAATAACCGAATTCCCCTCATCCCTCCTAACAAACTTCCTCTTCTAATAATTTCTCTTTCCTCCTTGTCAGCAAAAAGAGTCACGTTCCTTTTTTACCCTTTCTAGAATACACATACTACACTTTAGGTCCATGACTTAGCTGATCTATCACTGGACCCCTATCATGATCACTTTGAAAAAAGAATGGTGGCAAAGCTCACCATAGAGAAACTTGTAAATTCCATGAAGATTCAGTTGAAGGGGAGAGATAGAAAACAAGGAAGAATCTAAGTGGAGAGACTAAACTTTGAGGTCTTGGGAATGTTGGTTCAATTGGAAAAGAGATTCTCAATGTTTCCTTCAACGTTGTGGTTCATCTAGGAAGCTTGAGTTTGCTGGAACTACAAATAATCAGTTTAATTTATAATTTTGAAATTTGGACAGTTGTACAATATGAAACACACACTCTAACGATGAAAGAGGACATGACACGGAATCTAAAAGTAGGACACAACATTAAGAACAGAACAGAGACAAAAGAGAAGCTCAAATGAAATAAAGGAAGTACCATTACAAAAGATCAGTACAAAAGATCTAAATTTAGAATCGATATTTTTATATTCAATTTTAAGAAGATGAAATATATCTTTAAGAAAGATATATTCACATTTTCAAACCAACTTGTTAAGTTTTACATCTATCTTATTGTGAAAACCACTCACAAAAATGAGGGCACTATTTTTTCTATTTGTATATATTTCAAATTGATTTTTCTAACAGTTTAACAATATTATTGTGTCTTTCTAGGGGGATATGTCTACTAAAATACTCAGCCATCTGAATTGTTAAATTCAAGTATGAGTTGAGTCAACAAATTTGTTTTCGACTAGACACCTAATAAGGAGTATCCAAGGCACGATGGACAGGTCTTAATATTGAAAACGTCTCCAACATCGTGACACTTCAAATAATATGACTCTATACTTGATAAGTTATAGATTATCAGAATCAAAATTGAAAAAATGAAAATTTTTTGTAACAAATTGTGACCTTCAACATACATAACCTGGAACAATTTTTATGATCCTTCTTCTAGTCAGAAGGGAAAAAACACATAATAGCAGTTTGCTTTTAGTTTTTTGCACAATTCTTGTTCAGAAATAAGATCAATTAATAAGTGATGATATTACATTAAGACCAGCTGATAGTCAAAACCTCATTCATCATAAAAGGATTATCTTATTTAGATTCTTTGAACACAACATGGCGCTTAACCTTTGGATCATACTTCTTCAGCTCAAGCTTTTCCTGCTTCTTGCTTTTCTTTATGGCATAAAAGAATCCAGTTCCAGCCGTTGAGACAAGCCTGATAACCTTAGACTATGACAACAGCAGAAACTACAATCTCACTTTGTTATCCAGATCAACAAGCGAACAGTTAATGAAGAAACAAAATGTGATAAAAAGAGACACCTAATCTCTGACAAATTCACTAGTAAGAAGTTCTTTTTGGTATGCTATTGAATAATGGGAAAATAATGGTAAATAAAAGGCCAAATTGTATCTTGTATATCCCAAAATTTCACATCATTTAAAATTTGAGTCAAGAGTAGTTAATAGACACCGTTTTCCTTTAAACCCGGAGTACCTCCAAAGAAAAATCATGATAAAGCCAGCTAATACCAAAGTGAACAGTACCTAAGATCTGAACATTAAGGCCTAAAGTAAACAATACCTCCGATGACCTGACCTTAACTATATCTTTGGACTTCAGCTGTAAGCCAGATAAATAATACCTTTGATGACCTGACCTTAACTATATTTATAGACTTACGGTTAAAACATTTAGAACATGAGCCACTCTTAACCCTTAACGGTTGAGGTCAAAATATATGAAGTTTCTTAAATGTTGCTTATACTATTTCGAATTACTAATACCAAACTTCAATTCTAATTGGAGAACAACACAAACAATCCTGAATCTAGGTTTTGTTATAGATAAAAACAAAATGTGGCAACAGTTAGCATGTAGCAAATGCAACAATGAATGGCCAATTGATTCACAGGTAAAATTTGTAGAAATGGGACGCTAGCTACCTTTTTCTTACTGGAACCTTTTCCGGCCATACAAACAACGGAAGAACGAGTTCGGCGGCAAAACATGTCCTTTGACAAGTAATCTACAAGCAATAAATCATCCCCACCCATTCAATTTTTTGTTAAGTTAAAGATAAAAGGGTTTATGAATTTACATTACCTCTGGGTAAAAGACCATTGGATGAGAAAGAGTTGAAGGGCCTCAAATTTGAGGGAAGACGAGTGGAAGAAAATGAAGAGTGATTGAATTTGAAGAATGAATTTCCTTTACCACCAGAAATAGTGAGCCCTGAAAACGCCATTTCTCTTCTTTCTCTCCCAACAGGATAAGATAAGGTAAAGCGCTAAGGAACCATTGCCTGCGGCTACTTAAGGCCCAACTCTATATTTCTGTATTAATTTTTGTGCAACTTAATAATTTTATACTGGATAAAAATTTAATTTTATATATGGCTATCCAATTTTTTAAAATCAAATCATTGTAATTACATATTTAAGTAGAATATTAGTAATAATAATAATATTTAATTATAAATTTTAATATTATGATAACGAAAATAAAAACTTTTATATTAAACTAAAATTTATTTATTTTTCAAATTTAGAAATCCAAGCGTGACATCACTTGCATATTAATGAAATTATGAAAACTAAAAACAGATTAAAGTTTTTTATTATTATTGTTTTATTCTTGTTTAATAAGTTAAAAGATACTATCAATATAACTTAAGTTTTACTTCTTAAATTTCTTAATTATCATTATCTTATCTTTATTTTAATCGTGATGAAAAATTATTTTATCCACTTATTAAATACTTTTTCTTATATTCATGTCTACAATTTTTTTTTATTTATGTTAAAAATAAAGTTAATTTTTGTTAGGAGTATTTTGAATTCATAAATTAGATTACTATTCAAATTTTGTAAATTTTCGTAGAGATCGAAAGTTAAAACTGAAAGGGGGACTGAAAATTTTCCTCGATGGTCAAATAATTCATTAAGCGAGAAGCATATGCACAGAGAGGTGTCCACATGCTTGTTTCGCTCAGCAAACATATACTCACTAAGGCTATGTTTGGTTTGAGTGATTTGAGAGAGTGGAAATGAGAGTATGGAAATGGAGAAATTTGAAAAAAATAGAGGTGAAATTAAAATTGTTTGGATGAATGAAAAGTGAAAGAAAAGTTTATGAAAAATTGTGAGTGATTTGATTGATATGAGATATAAAAGTTATAATTTTAATTGATTATTTAGGAAAATTACTATTTTACCCTTGTGTATAAAATAAGGTTAAAATTATTATAAATATAATTTTTTAATTAATTATCCATATTTTAACATTGATTATATATTTAAAAGAAAAAACAAATTAAAAAGTGTTTGTAAGTGGAAACAAATTTAAAAAATTTAATTTTTTTTAAACAAGTTATTAAAAAATATATAAATAAATAATTACAAAATTATTTTTAGAAATTAATAATAAATTACGAGGAAAATACATATAAAAAAATAATATTTTTATGTAAAATTAAAATTAATTATATTTTAGAATATATATATATATATATATATATATATATATATATATATATATTAGTTAGTTTTGCTTTCTTATAAAAAAAATCTATTTAGGATTAGATAGCGGTTGTATATTTAACCGCTATCTAAAACGTATTTTAGATAGCGGTTGTCCATTTAACCGCTATCTAAAACCTATTTAGATAGCGGTTAACGTGGAACCGCTATCATATATCGATGTCCAGCTTATTATGATCGATTAAATATTAAAATGATCGATTATATTCGAAATTTTTTCAAATAATAAATTATAATCGATTAATTTTTTAAATAATTGATTAGTTTTTCAAATAATAGATTATAATTGATTAATTTCTCAAATATACATTAAATTAAAATAAAAAAATTATTTTTCAATTATATATTATAAAAATTATAATTATATAATTAAAAAAATATATCTATATAATTTTAAAATGTTTTATATAAAATTTATAGTTTTAAATATAGTTTTAAAAAGAAGTATGTATTTATTAGATTAATAATATATTTAGAATTATGGTTGAAAGTAGTAAAATATAATTTTTATTTGTGTGATTAAACTTTTTTTATTTTCTACTTTATTTGATATTGTAATATTTTTTTATAAGTGACTCATATATGAATAATTAATTAGAATAAATTAGAATAAATGTTAACCGATCTTATAAATTAATTATATATATATATATATATATATATATATTTTTTGCGTAAATTAGAATAATAATTATTAACTTGAAAATAATTTATATTTAATATATATATATATATATATATTCTAAAATATAATTTTATTTTATTTCTATAATATATATATATATATATATAAATGAAAATAAGTTATATTTTGGAATATATATTTTATATTATAGTAATTAAAATAAATTATATTTTAGAATATATATATATATATATATATATATATATATATTAGTTAGTTTTGCTTTCTTATAAAAAAAAATCTATTTAGGATTAGATAGCGGTTGTATATTTAACCGCTATCTAAAACGTATTTGAGATAGCGGTTGTCCATTTAACCGCTATCTAAAACCTATTTGAAGCACTTGGTGGATTTGATGAAGACATAGATATAACTTAGGTTGTGGGTGTGTAGATGATTAGGTTTTTAAGTTTAAGCACTTAATCTCTTGATAGGCCATTATATTTTGTGATAAGCACCTTAAAATATTGCATATCATTAAAAATCTTTTTTTGCATGAAAAACTAACATCTAAAAGAACAAACTAAGTTTTTCAATCTGTTGAAAAGGATTTTCAATCTGTTAAAATCACTTAAAAGAATAAGTGGTCATACATAGTCGTATTTTCAATTGATTGATTCGCGGAATCAACAAGTTAAAATAACTCAATGAATTTTTCAATATCAAAGTTTCGCATTTTCAATCTGTTGAAATGATTTTTCAATCTGTTGAAACAGAAAGACTATTTTTTCAGTCTAAGAGTTTTCAAGAAAATCAATCTGTTGAAATATTTTTCAATCTATTGAAACAGAAAAACTATTTTTTCAGTCTAAGAGTTTTCAAGAAAATCAATTTGTTGAAATATTTTTTAATCTATTAAAACAGAGAGGCTATTTTATTAACTAAGTGTTTGCAGGATTTCAATCTGTTGAAATGATTTTTAATCGATTGAAACAGAGAGCTGTCATTTTTCATAAAGCTGTTTCAATCCATTAAAAACTCGAATCAATCGATTGAATGGAGCTTTAAATGAAATCAATCGATTGAATCGATGTTTTAATCGATTGAAATTTATTCTGATCGATTATAGTTTTATTCTGATTGATCATAACTCGGTCTGATCAATCATAGTTTTATTCTGATCGATCATAACTCGGTCTGATCGATCATAGTTTCATTCTGATCGATCATAACTCGGTCTGATCGATCATACTTCAGTTCTAATCGATCAAGTCTCTTCTAAAGCTGTTTTACTTCAATCTAATCGATCTTTTGACTCTCTAAACAGTTTTTGACAGTTGGAACATTCTGATTCTATGCTTTACTCTATATATACGAGAATTGATCTATCTTTTGATTAACATACAAACAATACACTACTTGAGAAAACTTGTGAAATCAATCTGTGAAACTTTCATACGTGACTTTCTCTGCATTCAAGAATCTTTTTCATATCATAAGGTGCTTGTGATCAGAATTGTGGTCAATCAAAGAGAGAAAGTGTTGTTAGAATTTGTTCGGACAATTAGAACTTCAAGTCCAGGTTTTTTCTTTCCATACTCTTTTGTAAAAGTGTGATTGTGCGAGGTTGGATTGTGATCTCGCACTTGGTACCAGAATCTGGGTTTGGTTACTTGGGTGGTTTTCAAGATTTCGTCTTGTGGGTTTGCAAGATAGTTCTTGGGGTAGATTGGTGAGTATCTACTTGGTTGTAAATTTTCACTTGGTATTAGTGAAACTTGACTGGTTTGTCAAGAACTCGGATGTAGCTCTGGATTAGAGTGAACCAGGTATAAATTTGTGTGTTAATATTCTTCTTTCATCTCTTTTATTTTCTGTCAATAAACTTGCTTGTGTTTAAACCAAACTACCTTCGCAAAGATTGAATAAAGATAACTCATTCTTCCAAAAGAAAGTAAGTTTTGCGAAAAAGTTTTAAAGTTCAATTCACCCCCTCCTCTTGAACTCAACCATTAATTCTTTCAATTGGTACCGGAGCTGGTTCTTGTAAGTTACTCAAGAAATCGGTCCAATGGTCGAGGGAAAGATGACTTTTTCAGAAGGAGCCTCCATAAACAGGCCTCCACTTTTTCTGGTGTGAATTATTCTTTCGGAAGGTTAGAATGAAAATCTATATTGAATCTCTTGATAGAGGCATTTGGGAAACAATTGTTAATGGTCCTTACAAACCAACTCATACAGTAGATGGTAAAGTAGTTGAAAAAGATTGGGCTGAATTAATCGATGTAGAAAATAGGAGAGTCCAATATGATTATACTGCAAAAATATTATTACCTCTGCTTTAAATCTTGATGAGTTTTTCAGGGTGTCTCGAGTGTGCCTCGCCAAAGAGATGTGGGAAATTTTAGAGGTCACACATGAAGGAACATCTGATGTGAAAAGGGCAAGAAAGCATGAGTTAATCAGGGACTATGAGTTGTTTAAAATGCAGCAAGGAGAAACAATTGCAGATGTGCAGAAAAGGTTCACGCACATAGTCAATCATCTAATTGGGTTAGGAAAGACTTTTGACAAAGAAGAGTTGAACATCAAAATCTTAAAGTGTTTGGACAGAACGTGGCAACCAAAGGTGACAGCTATATCAGAATCAAGAGACTTGACTGAAATGACTACCGCTTCACTTTTTGGTAAGTTAAGGGAACATGAGTTGGAAATCAATCGGTTCAAAGAACAAGAGAATGCAGAAAAGAAAAGTAGAAATATTGTTCTCAAGACGATTGAAGAAAACAGTGGATCTGAAGAAGATGAATCAGAGAACTTGACTTTGTTGGTTAAGAAATTTGGGAAATTTCTTAGAAGAAAGAACAGAACTGGCCAAGTAAAAAGGTACAATGATAAAAAGACTGAATCTGTTCAAAATACTATTACTTGTTATTCTTGTGGTAAACAGGGTCACATAAAGAGTGATTGTCCGAAAAGACCAAGAATCGAACAAGAAAGAATCAAGATACAAAGGGAAAAAGGCCTATATAGCCTGGCAAGACAATGATTCATCTTCCAGCTTCTGAATCCGAAAGTGAA